CTGAAGTAAATATGTTTGTGAACGTGAAGAAAAAAACAACAACACAGTATCATGAAGCTGTATTATTTTCTGTTTGTTATGTTTTTAAGTCACCTTGGTGGTTTCCATGCCAGAAAACCTAACATACTTGAAATCAGGTACATTGCAGTGAGGTATAGTGCAGATGTATTTATTTTTCATTCTCGTCGCAGGGTGTAGGTCGAGCATGTTCTTTTTTTGTTGTTGTTTTTTTTTGACGCGGTGACCTGAAGGTCAGTGTTTTCCTCGTGAATTAACAAGCAGTCAGTGGAGACGCAAAAAAAAAAGCGACTGACCATATTTCCCTAGCTTCCTACTTTCTGACTGTATCTTTTTATGTTGCTTATTTCCCCTTTTTTTTTTTTTTTTTTAAGAATTAAGCTTCTTGGGTGTAAACATTGCATGAGGTTCACGTGTTGACATTTGAGCGTTCCGGGTTTTGCAGTTGTTTTGTTTGATTCAGGATAAATATGACTATTTAGTGTACATAAAATGATTAAAAGCAGTATTTCTTCTTCAGAACTGACTGGACAGCGGTTGAAGAGTCCACAGAAGGTGATTTTGCATATCTTGTGTCTTATGTGCTTTTAGTTTATTTTCCTGATGCATAACCCTGAGGAGGACAGCGAGATGATATTTAAGAACACATAAATGATAAAGTTTAATATTTTTCCTCTTGAATTCAGTAAATAAGGCTTTGTGTTGCCACATTACTTTTAAATTGATTACTGGGACAGACTTTGATTTAAATCCAGGTTGAGGACAGACAGGCAGGAGTTACACAGCATATATTCAAATGTTTCTACTCTATAGGATGATATTCTAACATTTTTACTATTCAGTGCCAGTCACAAATAATTTACTAGGCTTTTATCATGCTGCAGGTCATATAAACGCTCATCATTATGAGTAAAATTGCATTCTGTATTGGTCAAATGTTTGTGTTTCAGCTCAAATGGAAAATAATCTTATACAAAACCTGCAAACAAATCTACTATAAAGACTGGTGTGTAGCTGTGCTGTAAACAGTCAGTGTGTAATATGGTATTGGTACCAACCTGCAGTGAGGGCCCCTTTGAACAGAGCTGACTGATTATCAGGAAAAGCTCAGGTATAATCATTTGCTTTGATGGGGACCTAATATGCTTTTTCATATTTCTGTCAGCTATATACTGTTACAATATCCTCATATTTAAAGCTTCAAATAGCGTATGTACGAGTATTCCGTGTGAGCCAAAAGCTCAAACTTCTGACTGATCTAAATATTTTTTTTCAGATGTTGGCTCTACATAAATATACATATGCATAAATTATCCCAAAATGGTAATTTCGGGCACATATCTTTGACTATGAGCACAAAAGCTCTGCCCGCCTGTGCTTCGAACCTTAGAAATTTGCCTTAACGGAAGATGAAACATCTAAAGTTGCTTGTTTCAACTCATATTTATATAGTGCTTAATCACAGCAGCAGCCACATCAAAGAGTTGTATCTTCTAAAATGAAAGGTAAATGACCCCTGAGCAAGCACTTGGCGATAGTAGGAAGGAAAAACTCCCTTTCAACAGGAAGAAACCTCAGATAATAGATGAACAGAGAGGCTGCACTAAAGCGCAGTGTAAAGTAAATGGGATTATTTTAAAACGTAAATCATGCTAAGCTACTCTGGTAACATCTGAGAATAAGAACAACAATATTAAGCAAGCATAATGGATCCCCTTAAGTCATGGCTCATTTCAGTTTGTGGTAAACGTGCACCAAACGTGCGTCTGTGAAGCTCTTATCATTTATTAGCCACATCTTCCACCTTGAATCCACTACATATGAGGGGGTCTTTTTGTATACTTGTGCTCTCTTTTCCCACATAGACAGATGACAGCGGGTTTATCAGGCTGATAAGCTGTAGCCGTCCTGGATCTCCACCTGCAGCCAGTTAAACTGTAAACAAAGCCCCTCTGCCACAAAAGGGTGCAGTTCAAATGGAAGTAATTTCCTCAAGTGAAAGCAGAGCTGGAGAGGGGAACGGCTTAGTCCCTGACAGATGGGTGACAATCTATTCAGCGGTCGACGACAATGGGAAGACGTGGGCGTTTGGCCTGAGAATGTTGAACGCAGAGATTATTTCATCATGTTTGGATTTCTGGAGGGTGAGCTGACATGGTGGATTATACAATACATTTAAGTAATGTTTTATGTGCATAGGGATATAAAATATTGGTCCTATATAAATGATGATATCTTTTGTCTCACCACTAGCCAATGATTGTATATTTTTATATACCATATATAGCAAAAATATTTATGAACATATGATATTTAATCGCCAGAATGTTAGATTAAGGAACAGGAAGGGCACTTCTATATAGGCTTGCTGACAAGAGGTCAGTATGAATTCCCACTTTAATGTATTTTTTAAGCAAAAGGAAGCAGCAGGAAATAAGGAAGCATCGAAGAAGAAAACTGAATGTTTAAGCTATGGACATTT